TGTGTCATATGAATAGACAACCAAAAGTTACATCCAAACTCATGAAAGAAATAAATATAGGCCATACAAATATTTCCCCTAGTCCGCGAATCGAACCCGAGACCTCTACGCAGCAATCCAGCATAGTGATCGTTCGGCCACGGGGGTAGGGAGGCTTTTCAATATCAAGATTATTTTAATAACACATTTAACACATATAAAACACGCAAGTGAGTGTATGCCTCAATCAGTGGCGTGGAGGGTGCAGAGGGGGCCATGGCCCGGGACGGCACAGTAATGGGGGCTGCGACGACCGCGGCCAAACCCTAACTAGTTACAATTTTTTTTACTTAAAATTAGAAATAAATTCCACTAATTTAAAAAATGATACCCTGAACGCAACAACGGTGAACATGCGAACATAAAAACATAATCGAGCTGAGTTTTCCCGAACGATCTACTTTTGTAATCTTGAAAATAGAGGCATTACGCCATTGGCCTCAACTACGGAAGGCTACAGAGTACGCTGCGTTAAAAATTAAAAAAAAAAACACTCTGTCCACCTTATTTACTTAGTACCTTCGTTTTGAAATAACAAACCATATTATCCTTAAGCTTTCCTTAAAACAACTCTATCAAGAGTCGTTACAATCTCAAAAGGCTTTAGTTGATTGCACATAACAGTGAAAGTGTTGAATTAAATATAGTAAACTTTGAAATATAGTAAAATTGAGGTTATACCATTGACTTACAAATAAATGGATGACGGGTCTAATACAAAAACCACGAAAAAAATGTCCCAAGTCAACCTATTTGAACGTAGTTAGTAGTATTTAAATGTCATCGCAGTACTGTCTAATTTTGCTTGCTTCGCTGTCTGTCGAACAAACGAAGACTAAAGCGTGAATGACGCTCTGTATACGATTTTAACGCCCTATAAGTTCGGACACTTTTTAGCGCGGACCCGACGTCCATATAATTGTATGTCAATGGGTTATACACTGATTAGTATACGGTGCGAAAACATGATTCCTTATACTTACCTCGAATTTTTACAAAAATATACTAATGATATTTGTAATATCAATTGAATAAATGTACAGTGTACGATATATTTTTCTAATGACTTTAATGTTGTTGGTAAAAAAAAAAATTCTGAAATAAAGCCAGGGTCCCTGTCGCTTGACTACGCTATGCTTCACATGATGAACAGTATTGATATGGGATTTTTTTTAATTCGAACTGACGTTGTATCGAACGAGGTAGTACAAAAAAGGCGTATTCTCGTGTAAAAAATGACGAAGTGACTAAAATAGCAAAAGGGAATGCTTGAATGATGATAGTAGAATAATGATATCAATTTATAGAGCGAGGAAAATGCGGGTAACGGTCGACTTCTGCGTACATGTCTCATTTCCGTAAAAAAGGTTTGGTTAATACTATCAGAGTGGACGAAAGAAATGTACCAATCCACAGGAGTACTACCACCTTACCTATTTGAAAGAAAGACAGAGAACTGTTTATTACACAAGCACAGACAGGTATATAAACAAAACAACAGAGGAACAATAATAATAACAATTAAAAATTAATCTTTTAGGCCCTCTGAGAAGCGAGAGTCTAAAATAAATAATGATATAATAATAGTAATAATTAAAAAAAAATTAAATTAAAACAATTGATAGTGCAGTACCTAATTCACCGACATGCGTGTCGCGACTGGTGCAATCGGGACTTGCTCAGTTTTAGCCACAAAAGGCTTTTTTTATAAACCGTTTCGTGGCGGTGGTTTTCAGCAAACCCGGGCGAGTGAGCCACTGACAACAATACAGATCTCAACAATAAATAAATAAATAGATAAGAAAACCGACATAATAGGTAGTGTACATACAACTACATACACATGTGAAATACTTATAATATGTAAATAACAGTATATTTCTGCCACGAAGCAGTAATGCGGGCGTGGGACTTGTCAATTTTATGTCTCAGGGTGACAGGCGCAGTGGCAGTGTCCCCTCAGATCATTGCGAAAAAAATTAGTACCTGTTATATTTCTGTAAACGCAATGAGTTTCAAACAAAGAACGTATTGTTGCTATTACAATATCAAATATGATGCTACTCCAATGCTCTCCTGCCTCCTGATTGGCCCAAATGTCTTGCAACCGGGCCATAAATCGTTATAAAAACAAACATTGATTAAAATGTAAACGGTGCTTGGCCACTTCTATTCTATCTTATTGGTTATTTGCTCGTAGAAAATGTATTGTATACAATCATCAAAATCTCGTATCCAATACTAAGGCTACTCGGCAAAAGCACTTTTGGCGTTTGATCACATGTGGTTTTATTAAATCAAGGATAAGACTTGTTACGTCGCAATAACCAAACTACCATTAATCCTAAAATGCACTCTTTTGGGCCGCAATAAGCCAGTTAAAACCCCTGCAACTAGATTCGTTCCTGTTATTTTTGTATGGCCCTGTAAACTTTATCTATAAATTCGGAGCTGGCGCCGTGCTCTATCATTGTCTGGCGGTAAAAAATAAAATGCAAACTTTTTAAAGAAGTAAGTAGTGGAAGAGAGCAGTGGACCGTTTTACAGAACATATATTAAGGTGGAAAGGTATTTTAAAAGATTCACAAGTTCTCTTTGCCATGTCACAAGTCACATTAAGTAACATTTAGCGTATTAAAAATACAAAATATCTTGAGTTGGAGCGAAATGAAGAAATAAATTTCTCACAGACGGCGCTACGGTAAACACGTCGTTAAAAAACCAAAACAAATATCAATCCAAAACAAGCACAGGAAAATTCGTAATATCCGCTGGTTCTTTCTGTGGCCTAGTTGGCATAGCGTCTGACACGGTTTGCTAGAAGATGTTGGTTCGAATTCAGCCGGATTTGAATATTTTTTTGTGAAAGAGTTGGTCTAGACAAGCACTGCCATCTTACCTATTTCTGCCGCCAAGTAATAATGTAAGCATTACTGTGTTTCGGTTTTGAAGGGTAAGGGTACTGGTGATATTACAGGCACGTGGGACTTGTCAACTTATGTCTCAGGGTGACGAGCACCGTGGCAGTGGCCTACAGATCGATGCAATTTAAAACTCTGAGTAGCACTATAATGTTATGGACAGGCATGTCGCTTATCACGTGGTAGTATCGTAAAAAACATATTGTTTTTTCCTTACTTGTTGGAGTTCAACGACCGTTTAAATTGTTTGCGCGAGACTAGAAATTACAGGATACTGTTTATATTTTCCGTAAAATTCATGCGGTACTTTTTTTCCAAACGCCTTCCCCACCGGGGTTAGACCGGATAGACGACGTCACTGTGGCAATTTATGACTGAAGTTTGCCGCTATAGATTTGATATCTTTTTAATTAGTTTTTTTATACAAATATTTAAAAAAGTAATTTGAACTACGGTAATTAGAAGGTTTTTTTAATGGTATTTTGTAATAAAACGAATAAGTATGGACCTGGTGATGAGCAACACGTCGATCCTTAATAGTTGCAGTGCCACTCAGAGCTTTTAATCATCCTGAGACATAAGCTGACAAATTTCATTTGCCTGTTGTAATTTCAACAGCACCCTTACCACTCACATTACTGCTTGACGGCAAAAATATGTAAGACCCGTGCATTCGGTTGTACAGCGTCTATACAACCGAAACGTGAAAGGTATTTTAGGGTTTTTATTCCATGTAAGAAAAGCCATTCTATGGAATAAAATTCATAAAGTTAAACCTCAAACGATTACGTTTGTTGGAAATATTCCTACGGTTTGAAATGTTCGTACGGTTTGGGAAATTCCGGTTCAGTCACAAATCACGCGGGCCATTCAAGCAAGAGTATTGTAAAGCCGTGTGCATACTTTTTACAGTTGGTCCGGTCCGCCGCATACTTGGAATTTCACAGCCTTTTCGTGTGTCCCTGCCATTTTGTTTTATTCTCTTTGCAGTTTCAATTTTAATCTACATTGAATTTCGCACGCTGTTGAATGGTTTTAAACATTGACTTACAATTATGTGGACGTCGGGTCCGCGCTAAAAAGTGTCCGAACTTATAGGGCGTTAAAATCGTATACAGAGCGTCATTCACGCTCTAGTCTTCGTTTGTTCGACTGACAGCGAAGCAAGCAAAATTAGACAGTACTGCGATGACATTACAATTCAAAATTCAACGTTTTAGCTTTTTCATATTCCTTGACATGTCACTACGTTTAAATAGGTTGACTTGGGACATTTTTTTCGTGGTTTTTGTATTAGACCCGTCGTCCATTTATTTGTAAGTCAATGGTTTTAAATGACAACTTTCCAGAAGAGAGGTTTCAATATTCTACTCACAAAATTGGTACATAATTTAGTTTTTTTTTTAAATCAAAGCAATCTTTAAGCAAGAACGTTCACAGAAACTATAACGTCCCAAACAAAATATTATTAGTAGCGACAGTGTTTTGTTTTAATGTTGAATTTTATCAAAGAGTATGAGTACCGCAGTACCGTGGACAGACTGGTGACGTTCTTGACATTTTTAACCGATTTCAAAAAACGGAGGAGGTTCTCAATTGGACTGTTTTTTTGTGGGTATGTTACTCGATTATTCCGGTATTGGTGAAACGAATTTGATAATTATTTTTTTGTTAGAAAGAAGGTTTCTCAGTTTTAGTCACATTTAAATTTGAAGAAAATATTCCACCCCTAAAAGTGGTAAACTAGGGGATGAATCCAGTTTCGCGCACTTTCCGTTAATCCATTTTTGTATAACAGCATACTTTTAAAGTCGCTTTTTTAAATTTCAATTTTAATGACGAGATTATTACACACTACAACTACAATAGTAGCGTTTAACCGTTTGATGGTTTGTAGGTTAAATTTGCTTACCTACGGAAACTGGTTTAACTTTTCTAGAATCCTTCACCGGTTTTTAAAAGGTAGTTAGTTAAATTTGATAATGCACTTGACTTTTAAAACGGTTTATACTTTATTACAAAATAACTGAGATAACTTACCTGTCTAACATCGCTCTCTACTCCGTTTGCAAGGTACTGCGTCTGTCTCAGGTTCGGCGCTAGCAGTTGACTGTGAACAAAGACAAAAACAATAATTAGTTTCATTTTTAACCGACTTCAAAATGTAGGTTTTTTTTTAGTACTCTGTACTGAGATTATATTCAATAATAACATGGCGGACATTCACACTAACCTGGCCATCTGTGTACCTGGCTACAAACTAGAAAACTCCTGCACTAAGAGCATCAGAGTAACCAAAAAGGTCAGTGTACGCTAGTCAGAACACCCAGGGCAGAACCAGAAACGTTCATTTCTTGAATAGGTTCTGGGATTAATTCCCATCCTGGAACCCCCTCATCAAGCGCCCATAGAACTCAGCGAGACATCGAAGTCTTAAATTTTAAGTAAGTGCAAATGTGTCAAATGCTTAAATAATTTTTTTTTAGATGTGATGAGACAATTGTTACTAACCAAAAATTAACTAATTACCATTGACTTACAAATAAATGGACGACGGGTCTAATACAAAAACCACAAAAAAAATGTCCCAAGTCAACCTATTCGAAATTTAAATTGTAATATCATCGCAGTATCGCGCTGTCAGTAGAACAAATGAAGACTAAAGCGGAGTGTCGCGCTCTGTATACGATTTTAGCGCCTTACAAGTGCGGACACTTTTTAGCGCGGACCCGACGTCCATATAATTGTAAGTCAATGCTAATTACGTTAAAATAAACGATAAATTAGTAACTTAGTTAATTAATCTGATAACTTTACTTACTATATATGTACTGGCACATGCCAAACATTTGAAATCACGTTGTTTGTATTAAAAAAATACTTAAAGAGTATCTGCTAAATCTTCAAAAATATCCATCGTAGCTGTTGACGTGCCGGGGACATGACCCGTGTCACGTGTGTTCTGTTGCCGGATCCGCTGAAAATCGGCGTCGTAGCACTTGAATGTGAGACGACAACAAACTGAGTAGGACACGGTTTCCTTGGCAGCACAGCACACACACGCTTTGTAATCTACATATTATATGTATTTAGTTTCAAATCCTTAGGTTATTATTACTAAGATTATTTTCTTGTGCTCGACTGAAGGTCGGATATTGTGAACCAGGTACGGGCCTAAGCCAAATATTCCTGTTCGGTCGGTATTGTGAGGGGATGTGAGTGAGTGGTGATTTTTTGTGGAGTTTGTTGAATCAGGTGTATTTAAGAAACGGTGGACTGTCGAGCATGTGTCTAGCACAATTGACTTTTGTACAAGTATGTAGGTTTTAGGATGCAGATCTATCATTTTTATGATATCAGTTGACGAATCAGGGACTATCTTAATGGTTTACGGTGGTATACGTTTTTACAATAAGATTCCGGAGCATATATTAAGTTTATCATTTCCTAAGTTTAAAAACTACGTGTTAGATAAAGATGTATGGAAAGACGACACGGCTCCAGAATCCACACAAATTTGATTCAAAGTATTCCATAGCATTTAAGTTTATTTGAAAAGAGCAATCCCTAGAGTTTCTTGCTCGTTCTTCTCAGGGAGGTCAGCGTAGTGAACGAGCAGTGGCTTAAATGTGACGTTTTCAAGTGTAAATTTATTTTACCTATGGAATAAATAATCTTTGACTTTGACTCTGTTTCTTGGTGCCACATCTATTTGATTTCGTCTGCTAAAGGTGTTTTTCAGTGTGTTTCTGTTTTAGGTTGTTTGTATTGGGAACGGCAATATCTATGAGGTAGGTGGTCTTTGTAGATTTAACAGTTAGTGTTATATCAGGTCAGTTGCTGAGGATAGTGCGGTCAGTGATGACGTCTTGTTTATTATTATTATTGTAAAATGCACGTGTACTGTGTTGATTATTCAAGGAATAAATGATTTCTATTCTTTTCTATTCTATTCAAAGAAAGAAAACAAAAACTCTTCAACACAAAACAGTTGTTAGAAAACAAAAAAATTTCAGCATAAATTTGTTTGTTTATTAGTCTCTATTAATATTTAAATCAGTCGAACACCGTCTATTATACAAGCGAACGAAGTTTCAAGATTACACAAAGTAATAATGAATTTTCAAAATAGCGTACCGCGAGTTGCTGACTTATTAATTCCACGGGATGTAAACGTATACTCAACTAAACAGTTTGATGGTATTCGTTTACTGCTTACCTTTATCAATTTAACCTACGGTGCACAGACATAGTCGCTGACCGAGTTCCAAAAGTCTAGACTCAAGATCTGCCACAGGGCGATGGAACGCAGCATTCTGGGCTTTAAATGTATTGACGGAGTACGCAATACAATGCTGCGATCGATGATTGGCATTGCTGATGTGATTGAGCTCAAATGGGATTGAGCGGGCTACGTTAGCCGGATGCAACCTGAGAGGTGGGCAAACGTTGTCACTCCTTGGGTGTCCGAGGATGGAAAGAGACGGCGTTGACGGCCGAGAAGGCGTTGGCGAGTTTAAGAGGAAGTTGTGGCAGATAGCCAAAGATAGGGAGCGATGGAGGATTTTGGAGGAGACCTTTTCCCAGCAGTGAGACATAATAGGTTAATAAAAAATAAACTTAAATTCTTTACACTAAAATAATTCAATACAAATTTTTCAATGACTTATCTAAGTGTGCGATGCATCGTCGACCACATCGTCACTTTCCATCAGGTGAGATAGAAGAAAAAGACTTCATTCGTTAGCTTAGGTTTTAAAGGTCCCTGTAGGGCCAGTTTCGGAAAAAAAGAATTCTAAATGAGTTCGGGTTTGGGTTTTCTGAGCAATGCAGGGAACTGCCTAGTTTAGATCAGGAATTGATTTATGGTGTATTATTACGCAGAATAGTCAAATCTCTAGTTAATTCTCTACTAAACTCTCCTTTTCCCTCTGAGTACTCCTATAAATTGGCACCAAAGCGCGAGTCGCATATTTTGCTCGTCTTTTTCCGTACCTTAAAAAATGTTAATAATTGTATTTGTGAACCAATTTTGATGATTTTTTGTTGGAAAGAAGGTACTTCAGTATTAGCCCCATTTAAATTTGAAGAAAACATTCCACCTCCAAGGGTGATAGATTAGGTGATGAATCTGGTTTTGGGCACTTTCCGGTAAACGATTTCAATAATACTAGGCAAATAGATGTAATTCGACGAACTTTTGAGGCCAGTTCTTTAGTACTTTGTACTAAGATTATCTGATATTTAATTTTACGGTAAACGCCATTATTGTTCATGAATGAGTTAAATTGTAGTTTCCTTTGTTAAATTTATAAATGAGAATAATATATTCGCGGATAATTATATTAGTATCATTGGTACAGGTATGTAGGTTTTAGGATGCAGATCTATCATTTTTAAAGCGGTATGAAGGGTTTTCGGTATGATACCAGTTGACGAAATTATAATGGGGACTATCTTAATGGTTTCGTGGTGCCACATCTATTTGATTTCGTCTGCTAAAGGTGTTTTTTCAGTGTGTTTCTGTTTTAAGTTGTTTGTATTGGGAACGGCTATATCTATGAGGTAGGTGGTCTTTGTAGATTTAACAGTTAGTGTTATATCAGGTCTGTTGCTGAGGATAGTGCGGTCGGTGATGACGTCTCGTTTATTATTATTATTATAAAATGCACGTGTACTGTGTTGATTATTCAAGGAATAAATGATTTCTATTCTTTTTAATATTATGGTATCTTCTTCAACTATCCGTTTGTAGTAAACTCAGGGGTGCCAACCAAGACATGTGTAATAAAATCAATTAGGAAGACTATCCATCTAATAAGTTGAGATTAGTCTGATCTTTGACCTTTGAACACACGTCGCTATTGTTGGCATGCCTGCTACTGAAATGCTTGTACGTGTTTACACACGCTAATTACCTTATGTCTGCCTGCTATGGGGGCAAGAGGGCAGCTTTATGGGTATTGTGATTTGAAGGGTCGCCTCGATTCTAGACGGGGTAGCGATCACCGTTGAATGTACATGCTGTGCCGGTTGGTTAAAATACGAAGTTTAGATTCGAGTTTATCGTCACCAATAAGTCTGCTGGCTTTGCAACTGCCTCAAAAGCCTTTAGTTGATGTTTTAGTATCTTTATCACTTGCACTATTTTAAAAAAAGGCCGCGGGTTCGGCACCTCTGAGTTTTTCCGAGACGAAATATGTAGTAGATTAATATAAAACATTGAATAGGCATACAAATTAATTACTCTATTCATAAATCACACGTATCAATAGGTGCTTTGTAAATTTTGTAAAAAATCAGTCGAGTAAGTATTACTTCTATCCCAATTACCCGTTTAAATTAAAATTACGCGAACACGCCGTGTACAGAGCTAGTCTAAATAATGAGCATTGCCAAAAAATGTTTTTTATACCTGCCATCATTGGTTGCCTAGTAAGGTTTTGTTATTAAACATTCTATATCGAATTTGTCTGTTAGTTACAAATTTTATCGTCTTGTTTGATCACACGTCCTCCTTCTAGCGTCGTATACCTCATTACTGAGGGTTGTGACTCCACCGCGGAAACAAGTTCCGCATGACTACGCTGTGCCATCTGTGGCGGTCCTTGGCGTAGTGGAGCGCATCATGGAGACCCATTCCGAGAGTCGCACAAACTTGGTGGAACTCTCTTGTGGGACAGCCACCGCTCGGACGTTTACCGTTAATTCGTCCGGTGACCATTAGTTGTTCGAGGTTGTACCCTTCTTTCCTGGTAAAGTGACAAGAAATCAAGTATCCTACGTAGACATAAGATGGACGGTCTGGTCTGGATGTTAAGTTCCCGCAATACTGAGTCGTTCGTGCAAAAATTAATCCAACGGACTCCCAACATTTTCCAGTATCGCATCTCAAAGGCGTCAGTGCGGTCACGTTCCACCTTTTTTAGTGTCCACGTTTCCGCTCCATAGCTAAAAATGGAAAAAACCAAAGAGCTCACCAATCTCATCATAGTTTTATGCGTGATGTTACGGTCCTCATACTCTCTGCAGCTGGGCCATAGTACCTTTACCCATTCCTATTCGCTTTCGAATCTCCTTTTTTCGTGTCGATCGTCAAATAATCTATCA